TTATTGAGTCAATTAGATAGGAAATGGCCTTTTAGATACATTTTAAACCATCCAAACGTGTTCCAGAAGTACAGACACTGAAAAATGCAACAGTTTAGAAGATGTGTGTTCAAACTGCAACAGACCCAGAAGCTGCAATGTTGCTCCTGCTCATCATTCTGCAGCCATGTAATGACTGATAAACCAAGCAGTGGCACAAAGTCAGATGAACAGTTTATATTTTCCTCTTCACAATGATTATATTGTTGATACAAAATATGATGTATTTCCTTGCTAAAGCATCTGTTAAAGTCAGAGAACCATCCTAGAGTAACATATGTGTCTACATTGCTCTGGAGTGGACTATGACTAAAAGCTAGAACTGATTCCTTTGGACTGTTTTTCTATAGTAAATGGGCACTACACATTAAAATGTTTATTTATTACTAGATTTCTATGTCTTTTGATAGTTCCCCACTCTATAATAGAGATGGCCTCACTACTCAAAAAACCCCTCAATATTTCTTTGTAAAATATGCAGACAGATTGCTATTCAGATTTGGATGTGATATTGATATTCAACATGTGCAGGGAAAATGTAGTTGTGCCTAAAGGTTAGATAATATTGCTCTTGTTCCTCTACTAAGCAGCTCATAACCAAGTAACCTCGATGCCATTGAGGTTTGTAGTATTTCAGACCTATATCTTAAAGGCCTGGTTTACTCATACGCTTACCTTGTGTATAGCATTGATTGGTACATACATAAGTTCAGGCATGCTTATGGGTTCAATTGTAAACATTTTTGAAATATGGTCAGCACAGCTGTCAGTGCAGTCAAACCCAGGAGATTTCTTACTGTTTTCTCATCTTCCATGGCTTCTGAGTGTATTACTTTCCTGTGATTTTTACTCTTGCTGAGTAACAGGTTTTTTTGTGTATGTGGTGGGTTTTTTTTTTTTTTTAAGTAAAAAAAATCTGTAATTTTGGTATTTCAAATCGGCATTAGTACATAATTATATGCATGTTCTACTTATTCAAGATTGATCATAAACTAAGCTGTACTGCTATAGAAGATAAGATTTGACTGCTTAGGCAATTATACGTTGCTTTATAAAGATGGCTAACTTGCTTTTGATGCATTTCATTTTCAACATACACAAAAAAAAATGAGGGACTTGGTCTTACTATTTCAAAAATGTACTTATTCATTTCAGTTGCTGACTATTTTCAGCTGTTCAGTTGACTTTATCAGATTACACCAAGAGAAAATCCTTTCAGATTTCAGGCAGTCACCTCTAATAGTTTTGTTTTGGAAGAACGGGGAAAGAAAAGGAGCTTTTTTGTGTTCTTTCAGTCACACTAAGGTGACATTGCTATGGGAAAGTGCTCAGCTATAATTAATTCCATTTAAGAAGAGAAGATCTGGAACATCTTAGCTGTTTTATTCTAGAAATAACCCCCTCTAAGAGTCTTCAAATACATAACAAACAGGAATTTTGCTAGATGAGGCTTTCTTAGATGAATATAGCACCGCAGTGGGTACGTGGCAAATGTTTCTGAATTTCTAAGCAAACAAAGCTAGTCTAGTAGTTGATTTTTTTTGAACTTCCCCCTCAGGGAGTATTTCCCATACACATCTACATTTCAGCATTCATGAGAACTGCCCGTTACCTAGTGAGTATCTGTGGGTGCAGGAGGAGGAAGGAGAGAAGCAGAAACCTGGATTCAGCGGCGAGCAAGGCAGCTGCCAGAGGTTGTGGGAGCTCTTGAGCATCAATCAGTGCTGTCCAACCCTGCCAGGATAGTCTTATTTGTGTAAGTTAGTGCAAAGGCTTGGATATATCATCTGTGCTCAGATACCTGTTACAAATGACTTCAGCCTAAGCAGTCTGCCCAGCGAAGCTGCTCCATTTGTCCTGGCACGTTTCCCCACGGCCTTGCCAGCCTTGGCCAAAGGCACAGCAAACTCATTTCCTCTTCTCTTCCTTATAAAATTTTCTACAACGTTATTAGTGTTCAGTGACATCACTAATTTGCTGTAGCCACAGGCATACCTACTGCTATTTATGCTACTAAAAATGGATTTCTTAATTGTAAGAGAAAGCAAATGTGGTATCTGTCTGAGAACAGCTGCTTCAGCCTTTCAAGCTCAGTGAGATTTCTGGGTGAAAGATTCCAGTCTCTTTGGCAAAGACAATATAAGGTTAGTCAAAATAAGTGATTTTTAAGAATCTGGCACTTGCAGCAAAGCATAGACAGGGCTTTGGACCACTGAAGAGGTCACAGAAGAACACAGCTATTAAATGATTATTGTACACAGGTGTGCAAAGTATCATAATTTATAGATACAGAGGCAAAATACTGTGACACTTCTGGTGCTGAAAACTGCCCATGACAAATCAGCCAGGGATGTGCATGAAAACCCTTTATGCTTTTGTAAGTAAGTTCTACATTAAGACTACACGGATCACTTTGTACATAATTAATGGAAAGGAAAGAAATACCTGAATGTTGATTAACTGCCTAATCAGAAGTGTGGTTCTGATCTCTTCTGCCTGTTACCTATTACCCCTTTAACATCAGTGAAGTTTCAGTAGAGTCCATGATGTAATGTAAATTTTTAATTAGGCAAAGATTAATGTCATATTTCTGATGAGAAGGTAATGGAAGGAAATGTGAAGGAAATGGAGCATTCACGAGTTGAGCTGCAAACTCCAGCTGTGTTAACTCTCTTCCTCTGTGTTAAATGAGGATTAGAGGAGGCAAGCACCTTGAAGAAACTTCATTCCTGTGCAGCAGGTCAGCGTGAAACTTAAATGCCTTTAATTTTCATGAGGTTTTTAACTGCAATTTAAGTGGCATAGTCTTAAGGATGGGGAAGAGTTTGGCCTTATAAGGAACACGTCTTTCTAAGGCTGGTTAACAAATTTCTTTTGAATTACTGCATTTGGTCTTGTTTCCTTAAAATAAACAGGCCATTCAGTCACAAAAATGCCAGTATGTTCCAAGAAAGCTCAAGCTGCTGAAGTTGCAACAGGGAAGCTGTAATTCTTTGAGGTGCCAAAACACTTTCTGACATCAGTAAAAGTGATACTTCTTGCAAAAAAGATGGTTTGCTAGCTGACCAGGTGGATTCTAAGGGAAGATGAGTAACCACAGCGAATTAGGTCACATGCTAAAAGCTATGTTTTTCCTAACTGCTCTATTAGGAAATCTTGGTTTTAAAAATTTTGTATATTTTTTTTCTTCTCTCACATGAATCAACATAAGGAATAAACATTAAATTAGCCCACTGCATGACAGAAGGTGGCTCTAATCATTGAGGTCAATAGCGTAGATGCTTACACAATCAGTTGGATAGTTTGGTCCTTTTCCAAAGCACTTTGGTGTCCAAAACCCAAATACTAGGTGACGGTTCAGAGCTCAACCCTTCAGAGTCAGCCAATTACTTCCACTGAAATAACAAATCTTAATATGTAGTTTACTTGGGAAAGGCAAGGTGCAGGGTTAGTAACATTAATTATATCTGTCAATACAATGTAAAATGTACAAGCTTTTTTTCAGGTCTGCCAGATAAATCAACATATGCTGCCTTTTATTTATAAGCAGTAGGTGAACCAGTCACTAGTTGCCCAAATTTGTGTGATATATTTAAATTTTGTGCTGACAGTTTCCTCTGCTGAGTTTTCAGCCTATGGATTATATAGAAATTCGGTGCTACAGCTGCTGTTCATTTATCATATAAAAGTGGCTGCCCTTAGCAAGGGGACCTCCAGGGATCCCTGGCAGATTCGGAGCAGCTTTGTTGATTTGAAAGCCACCATTATTTCCTCCAAGTCAGGCTTGAGCAAATACCACTTAATGGTACTGAGTCTCATTGCTACCTGGAAGTGATATTTTTCCAATGGTCCATGAGGTCAAAGTCCTGAACTTCCACTTTTTGCTGTCCAGGGAAATCAAATTACTCATGAGAGAATTTAGTCCTACCTGGAATTCCCAATCCAAATGCATTTTCGCAATCAAGCTCACAAAGTTCTTATATATATGCCTGGATCCTAATTTTGTAGCCAAGTCTTTCCCTTAAGTAGCATGATCATTTCCTCGGGTCAATCAATGCTAGATTGGATCTTATTTGGAAATATAAGTGGCATGTCTTGCTACACAGCAACGCTCATTTTGGAAGATTGTCCCTTTTGCTAATTAAAACCTGTTTTTGTTTCAATGGATATAAGGTTACCCTTGCTTTGTTTCTACTTTTTCTAATCTACTGCATTTTTGCTTGCCAAAGCAAGCAGGGTGACCCATTGACTGCAATGATTGAGTGCATTCAGGTTGATGCAAAGCCCTTGTAAATATTAGTGATGGCATCATCAACTACAAACTTAAGCTCATAAAACCAAACAAAACATTGCTGTATACTCAGCTAATGACTAAGCCCCTTTATCAGCCCTCCTGGGCTTGTTTAGATGTGGTTATTTACCCTCATTAGCAGAACTGAGGTCATGCTGTAGGGAAGGACAGGCTGTCATGCAGTCTCCTGGTGCCAGCCTTGCTCCATAGACCATCAGGATCGGCCCCTAGTTGGAAGAAGTTAATATCTAAGTGAACTCAAATAATACGAAAATAACCATAACAACAACAAAATCTTTAACTATATTAAACAATGAAAAATAATATAATTTATATCTAATAGTTTATTATATTTATATTTACCACAGTCCCTTTGGTACCCCCAGTGCTGTAAGGTCAGGACATGTCCTGATCTGCCCAGGATCCAACCCATGTGACCAAAAAAAAGGGTAAAAACTTTCAAAGGGTGGCACCTCCACTTAAAAAAAATGAGGAGGGAGAGTTTAGGCATTAAAGGTAAGTGTGACTTCCTGGAGATATCTGACTTCCCGAATAATTGCTCCTCATGCTAAATTACTGAGAAATGTGCATGCCCTCTGCCAGCCATTTGCTCGGAGACAAGATGCTGTCATCTGCGTAGCAATAATCACACACGTTTCCCATCACTTAGGTCTGTAAGAACTCGTGACACTTGAAGCTGTCCTGCTGCGTTGCCGTGGCAACGGGGGAAAAAAAAAAAAAGAAAACGTCAGAGCGGAAGATTGCAGTTTACAGTTACTGTTCTTCACTACTAGGCCTCAGTTGCTCCAGATCCGGTTTAATTTGCAACCTCACTTAATTTGCCCGACTACCCATGGGTGTTTGACAGCCTCTACCCTTCCTTCGATTGATTAATGGATTTCTCTCGCACGCTGCAAGGCTCACGCGAGTTTTCACTGAATGTTAAAGACCACGCCATCCAGACTTGATCCTGGCGGAGCAGAAACCAGAATGACTCCATTTTTCTTTTCTATCTGTCGACTTGTTGCTATTCAACTGTCCAGAAAATATTTTGTCTGTGGGTTAGTATTTGTATATGTATGAGTGTATGTATATATATATATTTATAGAGAGAGAAAAGTTATATGGCAGGTTTAGCTTTTCAAAAATGTTCATCTGGAGGATGGCGAGGACCAGAGCAAGTAACAAGGCCCTGGGTGACCTGCAGCACTTGTAGCACCCGTGAAACCCGGTGCCCACCGTGCTCCTGCCCGTGGGCATGTGCTGGGACAACTGGCCAAGCCAGAGCATCAGTAAAGACATCGATGGCTCCGGAGCATCGTCATCGTCACGCTCTTGGCCTCTACACAGCTGGCATCACACTCATAAGCATGAGGAGGAAACCAGATGCCCTACTATATAAATATATTCACACACATTATATATATATATAGTTTGGTTTGAATATATATATATATACATATATATAAAATACATACATACACATGTACACACAGTTTCCAGTTACGAGTAACAAGAAAAATTTCTTTGTGTGTGTAAAGTTACCACACCTGTTTGCAGACATGGGGGTAAAAAAGGGTGTTCGTTATATATGAGTATGGATCCTTTTTTTAATTCTGTGAGCATGTAAGGTAAAGAAAACCTTCCAGCTGTGTCAAGGTGACCATCTTGTTAATAAATTGTAAATGATCCATCAAAGCTCACACCAAATTTTTATAAAATTAATACAAAAAAGTATACTAGTGACAGACTGTGGCTTTTATTAGAGCTTGCCAGTAACTAGGGTAAGTGTCTTAGACTATTTTAATAAAATTGCTTATTTAAAGTTGAAACAAGAAAGCTTCCTTATGCAATAGAACTTTGCAGCTGCATTCTTTAGTTAGCATTTTTACAGTACTTATGAGTCATACTGTATGTTGTCTTTACTACAGTGAGATTATGAGCATATCTCCCACATCACACATATGTTTCAATAGTAAAGCTTTTTGGAAGCATTAAAAAAAAAATCCAAACATACATTAAGTTTTCCATAACGCTACACTAGATATTAAATGTGTATTGTTGGCTAAAAATTGCTGTACAATAGCTTTTCTCTGACTTCTTGTATTGTACCAAATATGACAGCAGGTCTTTTCTTTATTTTCCTTTATCAAAAGGAATAATATCAACCATGGTGACAGAGGGAGAATTAATTTTTGTTGAGAAATTTCATGTAGTGTACAGGCATGTGAGCGGGAAGTGCCTGATCTCAAACATTAACATGGGCGTGCTTCAAGTTCCCTTGCTCTGCCTCTTGCCTTGCAATAGTCACGTACTGCTCCTTTAGTATCAACAATCATGTGTTTTTGTTTTTTTTTTAAAAAAAATACAGTTTCCACGCAAAGTTTGCAAAAGTGAAAATCAACAAAGGCTTAACAACATAAACATTTAATGAATGCATCCAAGTGCACCCAAAGATGAATTGCACCTATGCTCTATCTTGAATAAAAGAAATGACAACATCCTCCTACATAAATCATCTACTTGCTTTCTTCTTCTACCCAGCCAGTCTCTGGAAAGACACCATTGATGTGAGTGTTATTTGTATCAAGTGGAAAGAAAAAAAGAAAAAAGAAAAAAAAAAGCAACCTTTTTATAGTTTAAACCAAGGCTCACATAGCATTTGTGGGCCTCAGTCCAAGGGCATCTAAAACCAGAAGCAAAGATAAATCTTCTCTACCTGGAACCACACTCAGCACAGGATGGTTCGTGTCCTCCCCATGCATGCCCAAGACAGATCATTCTTCATCTGACACATAGAGAGGTCAATATTATGGTTGAAACTGAATCAAGACACATCAAAGCCTTCATTCGCCTTTATCACCTTATTTCCACACCCAAATTAAATCCTCCTAGGTAATATTACATCTCTCTAGCTTCACCGAAAGCCATCACAGACTGCATGAGCATCCATGAGAAAATGAAGCTGCCATGTTAATGTTTCTCCCTCTCTGTCCCTTCCAACAATTGACCACAGCACGTCCCGTAACACTGTCCACGCAAGGAAACACATAAGAACCTGAGTTTTCTTACTTGGAGAAGTGTGGAGGCTCAGGAAAAATGATGTCCATCTCCTGCAACAAAGGAGCTACAATAATTCATTGGTCTTTCATAATACCAGGACAAAGCCGAGAAGATTGCTGTCATTTTTTTTTTATAGTTTATGTTTAATGTTTGCTCAGCCATAGCTTGCTGTTTTTATAACATTGCACATATTTCTACCTTAGCTATCTGAGTCACTACAGCATTTATTACAGTCTATGTTTGTAGGCATACAATGGGGTCTAGAATCTGAAAGGCAGTCAAGTTTTTTGATTTTTAATTTTGCAACATGCGCAAAACTTTTTAAAAAAATCATTTCATTTGAAAACAGTATCTGCTCTTTAAAAAAAAAGATGTAAAGGGCAAGTTAGTTAAACACTAAAGGGATTTTTTTTTTTTTTTTTTAGCAAGGTAAAGGTGTCACTGCTGTCACTTGTTTATTCAATCCCTGGCCATACACCTCATGTGTGTGCTTGCAATATGCCTATGTGCATTTATTAACGTACATTTTGTTCAGTAACTGTAGGTCTGAGGATTAAAACAAAGGGAAAACAGCCAAATTCCCTGGCAGGTAGCAAGGAAAATTAGGTAAGAGACTGGCTAATAAATACACTTGCTGATTTCCATCCTCATCTCATTTACACTGGTATGAATCAAAGAACAACTGCATTACTAAAGTTTTTTGAAATTCAGTCATATTTAGATGATTTTTTTTTTCACTTAAACCTCCCACATACTGTTTTTACTAGTCTGCAATGAGGAGTAAAGCAACATTTGTCACAAGATAGATGATGGTTGAGTGCTTATTTATGTATTACTGAAAGTCTGTCTTTTGTGGCATACAGAGTCACCTACCACCTAGATGTTGACCACAGATGACTCGCTTCCTTCACTGGCCACTTTATCATGTCTCTAAGATACCCAGTACAATTCTGTTTAACCTTTATTTTAAATGGCTATGGCCTCTAGACAAATAATTCTTCCTGGTCTCTTGCATAGTCATTTAAGTTAAGGATAACTATAATACAAACCTCCTCTATTAAATTATGGACTTACCATCAGTTCATAGGGACCTAGCTTAGACGTTTTATCATTATAAAGAGAGAGATATATGTTATAGTATCAACTTACATCATTGGTCTTTCCTTTGCACGACTTCCTTTCAGAAATATTGAGAAATAGGCCATTTTCTTCTCAATTGCTGCAGCTGCACTTAGCAACTTGAGACAGAGCAGAATTTTGCACACAAATCATTTTACATCACTGCTTAACTAAAGGCCAAGTTTCTTTCTAAGTGGGTTTAACAATGCCTCATTTAAAAGAAAAGGAAAAAAAAAAAACACAAGTTAAGTGGTATTAAAAAAGAATGACATTAACTTGTGAATACCCCGTCTAGGGCAAAAAGATCCTGTCTTCCCTTATTGTATCTTTAGAAACTCAGTTTTCTGAAAGAGACAGTGTCCAGTGGTAACCAAAAAAAAAAAGGCATCTTTTTTCTAATAACTCTGTGATCTATAATTTTCAGAGTTATCATGCAAAATAATCCAGTAGTAACTATTACAATAGTTAATTCATTTAAAGTCAGTATATCTATTTTACTGTGTAAAACACATAGCCCATTGCCTACACTGTTTTATCTAATCAAATGTCAAGCTATGATAGTTGATTTTTTAATTATCCAAATCACTCATACATTCTCAATGAAAAGTTGTTAATTGCACAATCGCTACGTGTGTGTATATATGTAGATATATAGAGATACACACATACATATATAAATATATATATAAAATATATGCAGATGGAGGGAGACTAATCCAACATGAAGACTTGGAATAAGCAGCTTAATTCCATATTATGCCTGAGCTAGGGAAAGCCACATATGCCAAATCAATCTGATGATTAAAAACAAAAGGAAAAAAAAAAATCTTATTCCAGTTCTCATGTTGTATTTATGCTACCTTTAGCTGTCCCCTCGTAACACAATTTATATCATTTGAAGATATGCGTAATTGTTTACTGATTCATTTTTAGCTGTCTGTGTATCAGCAGTCATCAGTAGGAGAAGGGGAAGGGGGTAGAGTCGGAATTCTGCATCACTGCATTTTCAGCAGGTCAGTCATTTGGGAAAGCTTTTCTCCATCCCCTGAAAGTTCCACTACCCCTTAGCATCGATAACTAACTGTGTTTTACCAGCTGAGGTCAAATGAGAGTAGTGTAAGGACAGGGTGTGCGCGTGGCCCCCGTGCACTCGCCGTGGGGTTGCAGAACGACGGCGCGACAGCAGGACCGGGACGGCGAAGTCACTGCACCCAACTGCGCCGGTGCTGCCACTCCAACCAGAAGCCTCCTACAAGATTATGTTTGCCCCATAATGAACACTGTAAGTTATCACCAAGGTATTTTTTAATGATTTTTTTTACATTCAAACAAGTATGAAAATACGTTGCTTGATTTAAAAGATACTTCATTCAGCTACCTTTCCAGTTAATCGTTCCTTTGGGCCCTAGTTGCTGAAGTGCTTGCTGTTTCTGAGGTGTAAATAAACGTTTTGATTTATGATGTGGTTCAAAAGAAACTTGTAATTTATTTGTGAAATGCTCAAATAAAGGATGTATGGGCT